ATCTGGTCCTTGTCCATCGGTCTGAACTGAGCAGCGCCCCCGCACGTGATGTCAACCTCGCCAGGTGCCAATGGCAAGTTCCTTTTCCACACGTTTGCACAGAATAGGCACGGCTTGTGAGCAGAAGTCCCTCCCCAATCGTAGCACATCCGCACGCCATCCAAATCCGACAGCACAATTTTCACCCTCGCATAAAGATGAAAGACTTGGCCATGCAGCATCAATGGGCAGCCCGCCTGCGAAAACGACAGGTCACCAAGAATCAGCATGTGCAGCAAAATCCGAAACATTCGAGGCCAACCGCCAATCACGTCCCTGATAATATGATCACGGCACAGCGCGAACGTCATCCACGTCGACTCGTGGCACAGCGCAGTGGAGCCAAGCTCCATGAAATTGAATGATGTAACCATTGTTTTCCTGCGGCTCGAAGGTTTTTTCTTGTCCCCCGTCGTGAATTCATCGAATACTATGATGATGTTCCAGGGTGCGTCCTCGGTGCACGGAGCGGCATTGGCCGCCTGGGCGAAGAGCTCTTGGAGCTCGGCCGACACATGGACCATCTCTTGCAGCAGGAGCTGCGGTTCGGAGACCTCCCACTTGAAAGGGCGCTCTTCCTTTTCCAACTCAAGCTCAAAATGCCGCGCAACCTTTTTCAATATAATGTAGTTTGCCTGCTGCAGCGATTTCCTCCCAGGGGCGCTGTCAACATCTAGCTTAGATAAGATCTTGGCAAGTCCATCAATTGTCACGTTCCCTGTGTGCAACAAAGATTGGGCTCCCAAGCGCTTGGTCATGTAAATTAAAACAGTGCGAGATGGATGTGCCAAAACGGCTGCAATGGACAGGGAAGGGAGGGGTGGGGACTTCTGAGTTCTCCAGGGAACTAGAAACGTTGTGTTTTTTCATGCACATCTAGCCGTGCCGATGGGATGAGCGCCCTGGAGGCCTTGACCTTCGGGTTGGGGCCTGGGGGAGGCTAGGGCCCCTAACTTCGCGCATCGCGCTCCGCGAAGCGCGAATAAGTTCGCGGTTTCGCGCCGCGCCCCAAAGGGGAGAATATGAAGACGAGGGGGAGGGGGGAGGAATGAGGAGCGCGAAGCGCGAATAACTTCGCGCCCTCGTGGGAACTCTTGGGAGGGTCTGGGGAAAGGGGTTGGGGCCTGGGGGAGGTGGGGTCGGTTTGTGGCCTGGTGGGTGGGTGGGTTGGGTTGTGGCCTGGGGGAGGTGGGTGTCCTGGGGGCCTGCGGGAGGTCGGGCCGGGTTTTCCGAACGCAGAGCACGGCTGGGACACCCCGTTGCCCCCCGCGCGACGCCGCCCGCAGCGGCCTAGGCGATGCCAGCCTAGCACAGGCTGGCCCGATGAGATGCGCAAGTGCCGCGTCGCACTTGCGCTCGGCGCTCCAGCAGCCGCGGCGAAGCAATCCTATAACAGATTGGCCTGGCGGATGAGCTGCGATGCCGCGTCGGCCTTGCGCTTCATGTCTGCCAGCACGCTCTTGACAGTGACATCCTTGCTGATGTGACGAATCTCGATGTTGTGGTCGCCGTCCATGATCTTCTTGACGTCGCTGCAGATCTCGGTAATCTTCTTGTAGTCCTCCTCGATGGTGTCGCAAACCCTCTGCGGCATCCCCTGGAACGCTGTATCGCTCACGATGTCCTGTAGCGTGTTCTTCATCTGCTTGACCTTGTCCGACATCGCCGCCGCGTCCTTCAGGTTTTTCGCGCCCTCCCTCTTCCTCGTGGCCTCCAGGTTCTTCTCCTCCCTCTCGCGCTCCTTCCCCTTGCGGGTCCTCCTGGCCTCCTTGTCCTTCTTGTCCTTATTGTGGCTCTTCTTCTTCTTGTCCTTCTTGCCCTTATTCTTATGGCGGCTGCGCGACGGGGAGCTCCATGAGCTCGACTCCTCGGACTCGGACTCGGGAGCTCCATCCACCTTCTGCCTCTTGCCGCTGTTCTCCTCCACGTCCTCGCGAAGCTTCCCCTTCTTGCCCGCCGTGCCAGCCGAGTATATCGGGACGCGGTACGTCTTCCCGAGGACGCGGTGGCTTTTGATGTCCCACGGGTGCGACAAGCTCTCGATTCGACCCGCGTCGAAGCCTTTGGCTGCCCACGCCTGCAGCGGCAAGAATTCACCTCCTTCTGCGTGCCACTTGTGGTGCTCCTCGAAGCCCTTCATGTACTCGTGGAACTGCGCGACGACATCCTTTCGGTTCGTGATGTCCCTGGCGCCGTTAAAGAACGCCTTCTTGCTCTCGTCGTCGAGGGCGGTGAAATTGGGCGTTGGCCATCCGCCCAGCTCGGTGGTCAGCTGCGCGATCTTGCTGCAGCAGCGCGAGCACCTGTACACGTCCTTCCCCTCGTTGCGGACCCTGACCTTGTCCATGACCTCCACCTCGGAACCGCAGTCCCCGCAACGCATGCGGAGATCCTCGAGGAAGGATGGGCGATCCGTCACCATTGGCGCTTGCGTCGGCTTCGGCCGCGCCGGGAAGAAGCCGCACTTCGGGGCGCGACCGAGGGTCTGCGGGTTCGAGGCGGCCGGTGCTGCCAGTGGATCTGCAGCTGGTTCTGCCGCCGTATCTGACGGGGGGCTCGCGGCGACCGATGGCTCAGGCGCAGCCTCCGCCTGCGGGGGCGGACCCGGCGGCGCTGGAGCCACCGCGGGAGGGCCATCGTGCGAGGGCGCGAAGGTGATCGCGCCGACCTTCGGGGGCGGCGGCCCGCTGCTCTTCGCCGCCGAGGGCCTCGCCCGCCGCGGCCGAGCTTGCCCTGGCGGAGGCTGTGGAGGCGGCGGCGCCGCGGCGGCGGGGGGCGGCGCCGCCGCCGCCGCCTCGACTGGGCTGTCGGAGGGCCTCACCTCCGCCTGGATCGCCGCCACCGCCGCCGCCGCAGACTCCGCCTCGACTGGGCTGTCGGCCTCGACGTGCACGATGTTGCCAGCCTTGCAATGGTCACAGCGCTGCGCTGGCCCCCCCCCCCCACACGCACACACACACGCGCGCGCCCCCCCGCACCCCGCCCCTCCCACTAAACGCCCCCAGCAATCACAGGCATCGTGAGCCTGTGCAGATTAAGGTGAATGACGAGTATTACGCTTGGTATCTGCGACGCCCCCATGGGGCGCCAGTGGCGTGAGGGGGTGGGCGGGGGGGGGAGGGGGTGTCAGGGGTTGTCCAGGCCAGCGCAACGTTGCCCATGCGCCTGCGGGCCATGTTCCCAACCTGGGCTGCCCATCATTGTGAACATCGTGTCGAGCTGAAGCTGCCGAGCCCTCGAAGCCTGGGCCGCCTTAGCCCTGTGCGGCAGCCCATCCGCGGCCCTGCGAGCCATCCCCTCAATGATCATCCTCTCCTCCATGCTCTGAATGTCCCGCGGCGTCTTCCTGCAGGTCGGGCACGCGAGCGTGGCCAAAGGCTTTTCCAGGATCGTGCAGGTCTCGTCGATGCAACACTTGTGGAACTTGTGGAGGCACGGCAAGATGGAAATCGGAACCTCCCTCAGGCCGCTGTCCGCCAGGGCGTCGTCGGGATCGCCCCTCAGGGAGACTTGGCAGATCACGCAATTGTCGCCGTCATCCGTCGGACCTGGGATGCTCGGCGGCGCCTCGCCACCTCCATGGGGCCCCTCCGCACCGGCCGCCTCCATCGGCGCCTCGACACCTGCACTGGGCCCCTCCGCCTCAGGACCTGGGACGCTCGACGGCGCGGTATCGTCAGCGGCTGAGACGGCGGCTGGGGTAGCAGCAGCGACGGTGGGTTCTGCTGCCACCCCGCTAGCATCCAAGGCGGCCTCGAGCGTCTCCTCGAGGTTCACCGCAGGGTCATCCTCGTTCCACGACATCACGCGCTGCAGACTGCGGCAGTGCACGCTAGGCTAGCGGAATGTGCCGCTGAGCGAAATATAAGTCTGGGACGGCGGTCCTGACTGAATACTCGCTTGATCCAAAAAGGCGGCGGGACAAACGGAATATACGTTCGGGTCTGGGCCGAAGCGGGAGTGCCGCTGGTCCGACATGGCTTGCAAGGCCCACCCCCGCCCTCCCACCGCGGGGGCCGCCGTTGGCCCTGCAGCCGTGTTGAGGTCATCTTGGAGCCGTCCTGGGGCATATTGGGCCATTATCAGGGCCGCATGGCAGCGGTTATCATACCATTATCAAACCATTATCAGACCATTAACATGGCCATGATCAGAAATCTGATAATGCATTACAGAAATCTGATAATGCAGTATCAGGGCACGCCTGATAACGCAATGTATCAGCTGATAACGTTACCAGACCGCCTGATAATGCATTATCAGACCATTATCAGACCATTGTCAGACCACTATCAGAACACATCTGATAACGCATTATCAGAAACCTGATAATGCATTATCAGGGCACGCCTGATAACGCAATGTATCAGCTGGTAACGTTATCAGGCCGCCTGGTGATGCATTATCAGACCATTATCAGGCCATTATCAGACCATTATCAGACCATTATCAGGCTACATGATAACGGTTATCAGATCATTACCAGGGCCGCCTGATAACGCAAGATAACGCCGACGGCTGCGACGCTGTGGATGCGGAGGAGGCGGGGGATGTTGCACTTCGAACCCTCTCAGAGGCGCAAGCCGTTCAAATCACGCCATGGAAAATCGTTCCCCCAACTTCGCGCTTCGCGCTGCGCGAAGCGCGAACAACTTCGCGCTGACGCGCCGCCCCCCCTCCCAGGGCGAGGATGGGGGAGGCGAGAATGGGGGGGAATGGGGGAAGGAGGGGAGGGGGAAGGAATAACTTGGCGCCCCCGTGGGAGCCCTTGGGGATGCGGATGGGGCGGGGGCTGATGAGGATGAGGATCAGGATTTTGCGTGCGTTGTCCATGCGCGCACGTGCCAGCACTGCGACGCAACGATTCCCCGAGCTGCGGCGCTGCGCGTCGGCTAGCAAGGCGCCGTGCGCGACGGCGCGACAGAGGCCTGCCACCGACGAGATCACTCGTCACTAAAAGCTCAGCTGCCCTTGAGCTTGTCCCAGCTAGCCGCGGAAGCCGCGTAAGCCTTCCCGCCGACCTTCGCCCTCTGCCTCGCCGCGCGGTGGGCCTTCGAAGTGAAGCACTCGCGCGCGGTGGCTTCCATCGTCTTCTTCGTCAGGACTGCCAGGTCGGAGATGTCGATCGGCTTCGCGTCGGCCTTCGTCTTGGGCGTGGTCACCTTGGCGCCCTTCAGCTTGGTCGAGGTCGCCTTGGTCGCCGTGGTCGCCCTGTCGGCCTTCGTCTTGGGCGGGCTCAACTTGGCCGCCTTGTTGCCCTCGCCGCGCCTCCCAGCGGAGGGCGTTGCCTGCTTGGTCTTGCCGATGCCCCTCGCAGCGGGTGTAGGGGGTGGGTCTTCGTCATCGTCATCATCTTCACCCTCGTCAACTGCGTCGTCGGCCGACTCCGCCACCTCGTCGGCGTCGGCGCATTCGCGATCCTCCTCCCCTTCTTCGTCGCCCTTCTTATCCTTGGCTTGTTTTGCCGCTGGCCTCTTCATGACCCTCTGAGCCTTGGCTTTCGCCTTGGCCTCTAAGCGCTTCGCCTGCATCGTGTCCATGGCCTGATCCACGGTGCGCTTCAAGTTCTGTGCCATGGTTTGCGGTGCATTCGCTGGAGCGGCCAAGGCCACTGCCCCTGCACTGTCAGCGGGTGCGGCGGCCGCTGGAGCTGCGGCAGCGGCAGCTGGAGCTGCGGCTGGTGGTACGACCGCTGGAGCTGCGGCCGCTGGGGCCGCGGCAAGTGCACCTGCGGCCAATGGGTCCGCGGCGTCTGCGGCCAATGGATCCGCGAGGTCGGTAGCTGGCAGGGGAGCGCGCGCTGGATGTGGCCCTGCAACCTTGCGGCCTGCTGGGTTGGGCTTGTGGCGGCCCCACCGAGTGGCGGCATTCCCGAAGACCTCCAAGTTCTCCATGAAGCTTACCATTTCGTCACCTGCTGAGCCCGCCCCCGCTCCGACGCGCCCTCCCGCCACGAGGGACATGGCGGTCATGGCCATGTTCTGCATTTGCTGCATGTTCTGGGCCTGCTGGGCAATCATCTGCCTGATGTCGTCATGGGGCCCTCCGCTGGGGGCGTATGGCACCAACTGTCCACTTGGCGCATTGCCCGAGCCCTGCGGCCCTGCGCTCATTTGCTGAGCCGCATGCTTCTCGGCCCCAACTCCTCTGCACCGATACCTATTGTCAAGGTCCCGCAGCTTGGACATGCTCAGCGGGCACCGCATGGGCCCGTCGCCCGCACGAGTGCTGCATGCCTTGGCGTAGGCCTGCGGATGTGAACGCGCCAGGTCACCTGGCAGATTCGGCAGCGGGCCCATGTGAAAGCCGGGCCCCGGGAACTTGTCTGCAATGGTCCTGTACTCCGACTTGACGTAGCCGCGGGTTGCCTTCAACTGAAAACAGTTCAGCTTGTACGCGTTAGGATCGGTGATGAGAAGCCACATCGACGCCATCAGCTTGGTCGTGCGCTCGCACACGTTGTCGCCGCCCAGGCGCACGACGCGCTGGATGATGAGGTGCAGGCAAGCGGTGCTGGGCGGCAGCTCGCCGTCATCGGGCATCAGCCTGGACCAGTTATCCTCAGTGAAGAACTCGAGGAAGGTCGTGTACTTCTGCTGGGCTTGGCGGTGGCTGGCCGCGGCTGAATCCCTGCTAAGTATAGTCATTATTGGCCCGTCGTGGCCCTGGTACCAGTCCACATTGTGGATCACAATTGCCAGCGCGGCCGTGTCCTCGGGTGAGATGTTTGCCCACGGGCGCTGCATCATGGCGACGACGGCGTTGGACTGAACCCTCGACAACGCCCCGTGTCATTCGGTCCCATCGACAGCCCGAAGCGCCGCCCCGATCGCTCCCAGCCTGAGACGCAGCGCGGACGCGTCCGTCATGGGCCAGCGCAGCGCGGTCAGCGAGAACCGCAAGTCGTTGCCTAACTGCTGGACGTGCTAACACCCAGACAAAATAAGCGGCAAATACCGCTAGCGGAAAATCCCGCTCAGCATGGCTGCTCGAGCCTAGGTGGCGGCTGTCGGAGGAGGTGTTCGGGGCGGGGGGATGGGGGGGAGTGGAGGAGATGACAAGATCTCTTGGCGACCAGGCGAGGAAAAATAGTTGTTGCTATATCTCCTGAGGGCGAGAGCCCCATTTTGAAATGGATCCGCCCTCCACAACGGTTGCACACTTACGACGAGGCAAAGATGCGCGGGCTCGTCCTTGGGGGCCAGAGGGCGCCCTGGGTTGAAAGCCTAGTCCTCAAAGGTGATCCTGGGTGGAGGCCTCACAAAGACTGGCTCGCAGATTCCATTCGGAAACGCAAAAAAACGATACCACCCGCCCTGGAGAGAACCGAGCGTGGCCTTGGTGGGGCCCGAGGCATAGGTCCCATCCCACCTCCCAGATTCAACGAATGGTCAGGCCGACGATTTTTGAAATGTCGTGGGGGGATACAGAGGGAAAGAAGGACAACGTTTCTGGGCGCGGCACGGGCGAACCGTGCGACTGGCGAGCGTAGAGCGTAAGTTGCAACGCTGCTGATGGGGCGCCGAGCAAGCGGTGCGATAATATGAAATGTCGCGCTGTCGCCACTGGCCACCTGCCCCTGTGCCTTCTTACGGGCACACTGAGCTGCTAGGGCGAGCTTAGGACAGGTCCAGAAGAGCTGCAGCTGGCGGCTCGCCCTGCACGTGTGCCTCCTTAAGGGCGCAGGGCTGGCCCAGAGCTGCCCTTGGCGGCCCTGTCGAGGACGAGTCACTGTCGCTGCCCATGACGTCAGAGTCTGCGCCGTCCTTGTCGTTCTTGTCGGGTGCTGCGATGACCGCTGGTGCTGCTGCATGCTCGCCTGCAGGGTGGCCAGGGTTCACGGGTGTCACTGGCGCTGCTGAGCCACTTGGTGCTGAGCCACTTGGTGCTGAGCCGCTTGGTGCTGATGGCGCTGAGGGGACACCGCCAGCTGGAATCCGTGACGCATGGCCAGCCAGGTCACTAACCTCAAGCACTTCGATGATGGTATGGAACGGGACGAAGATGACTTCCATGCTTGCTGGAACTGGTGGGATTGTTTCCCACTTGCCGAAAACATTCCCCATCTTCCCTGGCTTGCCTGGGGTGACCTGCCTGTGAAAGGTTCCAAACCCAGGTGGGAAGAACACCCCCTTGGTGTCGAGCTCGGTCAAGAAGGTGGACGAGATCGCGCACATCACTGCCATTGCTTGCGTATGATAGCAGCCCGTCGCGGCCGACGCCCTCTTGAACGTGTCACACGGGTTGAGGGCCTGCTGGGACGGGTGGAGGGTGTCGCGGCTGACTACTTTCCAGGCCTGAGGCTCTGTCAGGCCCTTGACGTCAACTATAGTCTTGCCCGTGGCCTTCTTCACGCCCTTGCCCTTGGGCATTGCCGTGGAAGCGGGGGAGCCGCCCGTGAACGATGAGCTCGCGGAAGCGAAAGCAGTGCCCCCCCTGGGGGCGCGTGAGAAGCTGGATCAGCTCGAGCCTCGACTGCTTCGGGCTGGTGATGGTCCGAGGGTTAGCGCCATTGCCCAGGGCGCCCCCTCCCCCCACCCCCCCATCGCGCCGCTCATATGGTGACGACGTCATGGAACGAGGGCGAGGGAAGGGTGACGAGGAGACGGCTTCAGAACGCAGAGGCCGCTGGTGAAATTAAAAGCAGGGGGTGAAGAGGGCGATCAATGCAGGGAATGGGGGGAGGGGGCGGGCGCGCGGAAGCGGATGCACCGCCGGCGAGGCGATCGCTCGAGGGGAGGGGGCGGGCGCGCGGAAGCGGGTGCACCGCTGGCGAGGCGGTCGATCGAGAGGAGGGGGGCGGCATGAAGGCCAGGCGAAGAATGGGTGGCGACGCGGAGGTTCGGCAACGTTTTCCGATGGCGCAGAGGCGCCGAAATCCAAGTTCGCAGTTCACGCGCGCCGATGCGCAACAATTGAAATGCACGAGCATGCTGCTGCTCCGTTGCACGATGCTCTGCTGCGCATCAAATGCTGCGAAGAAGCCCCAGGCTGAAAGCTATTGCTCCAGCTGCTCATGGCGCTGCGATGCGGGAACATCTGGCGGAACTGTGGCAGCCAGCCCTCTCGCTCGGCCTGGGCCCTCATGCTGTGCCACTTCACGTTCGGGTGATGCATCCCACCCCGCTGCCCGTAGCGCCCAGACGGGCGTGCTTTTTTTTTTTTTTTTTGTTTTCCAGAGCCGCGGCGCTGGTTGCCATAAATGACTTTTGTCAAGTGCTGGGTCTCGGAGTCCCAGAACGTCCCAGACGAATGATCGGAGTGGACGTGGCGCAGCTCGTCGATGTGCATGGTATCCTCGTCATGGGTCGTGGCGGTTTCGCCCTCGGTGGTGCTCTGGGCGACGGGCTTGCTCTCGGCGTCTGGGTTGCTCTTGTCGCGATCGGGCTCGGCGTCGGGGATGCCCTGTTCGGCGACTGGCTTGGCCTTGTCGAGCTCGGGCTTGCTCTCGTCGGCGTCGGGGATGCCCTGTTCGGCGACTGGCTTGATCTTGTCGCGCTCGGGCTTGCTCTCGTCGGCGTCGGGGATGCCCTGTTCGGCGACTGGCTTGATCTCGTCGCGATCGGGCTTGCTCTCGTCGGCGTTGGGGATGCTCTGCTTTCTCCATGGAGGCGCGGCGACCTTCATCGGCTGACTGGAAATCCATTCGGGGTCGCGCTTCATGATCTTTTCCAGTGCTGCGGGATCCCCTTTTGATCTGTGGAGTGCCTCAGAGAGCTCCCAGTCCCTTTCTATATTCGGGGCTCTGTTGTTGGTCCACTCGGTGTGGTCGCTGCTCTGCACGTGGTCGCTGTGCTGCTCGTGGGAGTACCATTCGAGGTTCGTGGTCTCAGCGGGGTTGTCGGAAAGCCACGGGAACAGGGTCGGCGGATAGACTGGAATCGTGGTGGATGCCCACCAGTCTTCCAGCTCCATTGGAACCCACCCTGGCACCCGTGCGGGCGGCTGTCGCAGCCTTCGTACATGGAAACCGCACTAGTCGGGCACTCGAGTGCCCGACTCATACATGCTTGGAGCCGACGCGGCCGCGGGAGATGGGGGCCCAGAGGAACAACTGATGAACCGAAGCCTTATTGGGGCCTTCTCGGAGCCACGGCGGGCCCGCTCGGGGCTCTCATGTCCCCCTCTCGCCCAGGAGCAATTGTCGGGGCTCGCGCTGGCCCTTTCCCCCGCCCCCCTGAAGGCCCCGATCGTGCTGCTGCTGGGCCCGTGAGAGGTGCCATCACTGCATAGCATCGCATAGCCTCGCATAGCCCCGCATAGCTTCGCATAGCCTCACATAGCCTCGCATAGCATCGCATAGCACCGCATAGCACCGCATAGCATCGCATTGCATCGCATGGCATGGTATCGCATGGCATCGCATCGCAAGTCATATCGTGAATGTTGCATAGCGTTGCCTGGCACAACATAGCATCGCTTAGCAACGGAACGCCCAGGAAGCGAACGTGCCGCTCGGGGGGAGGATGGGGAGGATGAGGATGAGAAGGAGGAGGACTTTATTTATCTATTCAAGCAAGCCGAGAAAGCGGACGTGCCGCTGAGGTAAGTGCCGCGGACGCGCCGCGCCGCTCGGGGTGCCGCCGTGCTTCTGTGCGCGGCAGCGGTCTGCCGAGCAAAAAAGCGCCGTGCGCGGCGGAAGCGATGCGCATTGCCGACGGGTCATTGGACAGTCCGCCTACCGTCGGTCGAATTGCTGAGACGTGGCCGCGCGCTCGTCTGCCGAGCTGCAAAATGCCAAGAGTGCGCCTATCGTCGGCGTTCCGAATTGTTGAGCCTATCGTCGGCAATCGTCGGCAAAATGCCGAGAGTGCGACAATCGTTGCTGATTTGGTGGCGTGTGAAACTGTAGGACTTGCCGATTCGCGCACTCGTGGTCGCCGTGCGACGCCTAGCTCAGATAAGCAATGCTCGGTAGCTCTCTCCTCGGCACCCAGCGCGCTTTCAGAACTACCTTCTCGCATGTCTCGAACGGGGTGCCCTTGACGCAGTACCTGTTGATGCGGCCATCATTGAGCGTCGTCGTGTCGCACACTTCCACCTCGAGCTGCACCCACCCTTGGGACCCATGGAATGTTTCCAAGCCGCCGTCGCTGTACACGTTGACGCCTGAATTGCCATGGTGGGTGCAGACTCCGTAGCAGAGCCGCCCGTCCTTCAAGATCCCGTGGCCGATCTGCTTCTCATTCCACGCGGTGGCTGGATGGATCAAGCTCTCCAGCCGCGTGTTGTGATACCCTACGCAGCGATCACCTGGGCTGTACGTGACGTTGTCGTATACCCAATGGTTGCCTCCATAGTGCATCGTCCTGCACTCAGGGCCGACGCGAAGGGGGATTCGCGACCATTCCTGGCCGTCGCTGCGCACGACGGGGAGCGATGGAGGGCCCAGCGTTCCCGTCTCGATGATTGCGCGCCACGTCGCGCCTGGATTGGCGCGCAAGCCCTCGTGCACCACCGTTAGGTCAGGTGCACAATCACATGCGAGAGGCAGCCACTGGCGGAACTGGTCGACGCTGTCGGCGATGTAGTACCTGCGCCAAGAGCAGGTGTTGCAAGTCTGGTAGCGCCAGGCCTGGTCTGCTGGCGCTGCTGGTGCTGCTGCTGGTGCTGCTGCTGCGCCTGGTGCTGCTGGCGCATGGTGATGCGTATGCGGCTGCTGGTGCTGCTGCTGGCGCTGCGCCTGGTGGTGCTGCTGGTGCTGTGCTGCTGGCGCTGCTGCTGCTGCTGCTGCTGCTGCTGCGCCTGG